CAGGACACAAAACACTGGTCAAACCCTGAAGATTCCTTAGCAAAAATCAAAGTCCCGCCATGCAAAAAACGTTCCCTACAGAAAATGAAAATTGGAACATAGCTCAGTAAATGGAAACATTCGTCGGGTCCTAACCAGTGCTCAGTAACTAAAACTAAACTAGGAAAATCAATACTTTCCAAAAACGCATAAAAGTCGTCACACTTATTTCTTAAAGACTGAACATTTAAAAGCAACACAGACAAATCAGAAACAGATTTACAACTAGTAGCATCATTAGTCAACCTTTTCTCAGTAGGTAAAGTACTCATAAAAAAAAATATCTGGCTGTTCCGAATCATTATTCTGCGCACTAGTTTCTATATTATCAGGAGAAATTATATCTATAATACCAGACTGTTCTACATCGTTATCCTGTCCATTCGTTTCCCAACAGTAGAACTAATCATATTTATAGGAGGCGTGGCTGATATGTCTAAATGTATCAGGTTAGTGCAGGTATTGATATGAAAATTATTGACAAACATTTTTAAAAAATAACTTAATCTGGACATACCACCACGATTCAAGTAAGAAAAGAAATTTACAAAATGTTTCTGTAAAAAGTTGTTTGACAAGTCTAAAAAATCTATGCACCTTGAAAATTGTTGTAAGTTTTTCGTGACCCTTAACAGCTTACCGTTAACATTCTGTATTCTGTAAGAGAGGTCAGAAAAATCCTTTCTACATGGTAAATTAGAAATAATCAAATTCGTGTGAAAACATTTATTTGCCAACAATGGAATATCACCCAATCCAATATTGCTGTCATTAATTTCTGCAAGAATAACTACATAATCCTTGGAAGACAAATTGTTCACATAACAATCGGCACTAGAAACCAAGTCCCTAAACCTAGCAAATGGTTTTGTTATTAATTGAATATTGAATACATAATAACCATTAAAATGACGAGTGAGGTATTGGAACATACGCTTACCATATTGGTCAGTTAAAAAAGCGTAGGTTGTTTTTGCTGGAGGTCTGACCATAACTAAGCTTCCTCAAGATATCCTCCTTTTCTTCCAACTGTTCTTCTGTTGAAGTAGCCGCATCTTTTTTGGGAACATTTGATCCATCCAAGCTCTGTCTGCGTTTAGAGGTACTTATTGCCAGCTTTAAATCTTCCACTTCAGTCGCCAGCACTTTATTTCCTTCATTTAGGGTATCTATAGATGTTTTCATGCCGTCAATTTTTTTTTTTGACAGTTTATGCCGTTTTTAGATTTTTCAAGTTCAGTGAGGTTCTCCTTGAAATCGCCTTCCAGTATATTGTTCTTTTCACCTAGATCCTTTATTATTTTATTGAGTTCACATATATTAGCCTTGTATTTTTTCAACTGCTGCTCATATCTCTGCTCGACCTCACACGCATTGGATTCCAGGTCGAGGGATAATCTTTTGTGTCTTTGAAAATGTATTTCCTTTAATTTAATGTCGCTTTTCAATCTTTCAATTTCTTTCTTGTAATTATTAATCCTATCTTCGAAGTCGTCCCCTTCCTGTTGACAGATACTGGAGCAATATATTTTGTAACCGCTTATTGTTGTGTGTTTCCTCTTTTCTGAACAACTAGGGTGAAATACTGCAAGGCATGTTACACAAAGGCAATAATTGAAAGGTTTATTTAGACAACACTTGAAATTTCCATCCATAGCAATAGGACACTTTAAATATTCCTATGCCGGTCCTGACCTTTCTTAAAGCCTACAACATGCCCGACACAAAAAATATTCAAATTTGTTTATAAAGCCTCTAGCTAAAATATCAAACAGTATACTATATTGTGCACTGATAAGAAATTGCAAAAGGTATTGGAATAAATTCAAATTTTAAATCAGGTGTTTTTATCAACCAACAAAATTAAAATAGGACGATTTTTGTTTTCATTGTTTATGTAAAAAGAAGAATTTCTAAATTGATTACCAATATTACACAACACAGGCAATCTTTTTCCACAAAATTTGATACCAAACACAAGTTACTCTAACTAATTTGTCCGCGTCAAACTAATAAAAACCTGGGACTGATTTTAATACACGCGCATTCTCGTAGTAGAATTTATTTATTTGTGTATAGTCAAATATCCATTTTTCATATGCTTTAATGTGCTTACCCCTTTCCTCTATGACTTTTTAAATACATTGTTGTAAAGTAAACATCAAATTGCTATATCGGCATTAAATTCTTATTTAAGCCAGCGCAGTCCCATCAGGAACGTTCATTTGTTTTCAGGCTTTTGCTGTAGCAATTTGATCCACATTTTTTCTTTTGTCACTATTGTATTTCAATCAATAAAATAAATGTTTTTTAAAATACAAGTTTCTGAATCGAAAATATAATTTTTCTACTGACATTTCATAATACGCTATTAAACGATTCAAATCTGTATCATAATGAACTTCATTACGATACAGATTTTCATTATAATACTCATTTTTAATATTATACAATGTAGATAGATGGCAGCACTAGTTAAGATATTAAACATTTTAAACGGTGATTTTGCGTAAAACAATTATTTTGATAACTATAAAAAAGACTCCGAATTGTTTAAAAGTTACCTTAAGTTTGGGACAAAGAATAATTATTATGGAAATCATGAATGATAACGAAGAATTTTTACTTTCTTCATTATTATACATTATCAATAGATGGCGCCACCAGTTAAAAAAATTTGATTTTTTTTTATATATATATAATTTTATAAAAAAAATACTTCAAATTGTTATTAAAAGTTAATACCTAAAGTTTGGGAGAAGGCATTATTATGGAAATATTGAGCGATAACGAAAAATTTTCACTAACACCTCCAGAAATTACAGAAAGGGCGACAAATGCAGTTAATAATATACTACCGGACAAGTCCAAGAAAATTTACGAAAAATTATATGGATTATTCCACTCATGTGTTAGAAATCCCATAAGACAAGTGACGATTTTTAGAATTACAGCGAAAATTCTCTTTTCCATTTGTTTAACTAGAGAGAATTTCAGCGATAATTCTCCCATGTTATTGTATACATGGTTGTCATGCTAATTTTTGATACAAACAAACGGTTCCTGATAGCAACCATTTATTTGTATTGATTGTTAAGATGTTCACATCGTTTAATACATATTTATTTCCATATTGTTTGCATTCTCATACGTGAAATAATCCTCTAAATACCACTGAGCTTTAAAGTGAACCAGATAATTTTTCACTCATGCGTGTTTTCTCTGCAAATTTCACTCGTCCTACGGACTCGTGAAATTATAGAAAACACGCAATAGTGAAAAATTATCGGTAATTTTGAAGCTCTCGTGGTATTATCCCCGACAATTTATGGATTGGAGAAACACCAAAAATACATCATCATTCTCTGAAAATGTTTTGATAGTATATTTTGAAGAGTTACAAGAAAAAATGAAACCTTCAACTGTATGGACGTTTTACTCAATTATAAAATCCCTATTCAAAGTTAAGCATAATGTTGACATATCTAAATATCATCAAGTTTTATCAATGGCAGTAGAAAAAATAGTGTATGCAACTCTCATGTAATGGCCATTAATACACTCGCATGTTATATACGAAACTCGCCTGCGGCTCGTTTCGTATCCTACAACATGCTCGTGTATTAATGGCTATCATTACATGATCATTGCATAATATACTATTATGTTCTATGAGACAACGGAATAGCTAATAATATTTGGTAAATACAAATTAATATTAGCCTTAGGTATACAACAGTGCAGTGTAAGAAAACTGAAACAATAATATCAACATAAACCGAAACAGCCCTTCTACCGCAACAATGGACTTTTTATTCCATCTTAGTTATTACAACTAGCTGTTACTACTTCATGGTTACGCAAAACCGGTAATATGATGAAGAGTCTATAGCCACAAAAAGCATCGAAAATACAATTAAATTATAATAAATGATTCAATCGAGTCAAAAACCATAGCCCATTGAATTTTAATAATCCTTTTAGATTGGATCCTACTAAAAACCGTGATTTAAACCGGTGTAAGCCCCGAGGCGACCCTGGTTTATAAGATTCTAGAAGCCAACCTATAAAAAAAATGGATTAGATCATGTTTTGTTCGTTGTACCGTGAAACGTTGATGTTTTTTTGTGTTAGATACTATGGTGCTATGGGGTTTGCTACCAGGGATACTTAGAAAATACCTAAAATTAGGCGAATTTTTCTCGTTACTTTTTTGCGAATATGTTCGTTTTGTCTTCTTGAAACTTCTATTTGTCCTAAAAAAAATGTCAAATTCTAGCTTACATGAAAAATTGTTACTTTTAGGCTGCTAATTAATGCTAAATTATTCAAAGTTTTGTCGTTAATAGTTTTTCATTTCATTTATCCCTTTAACATTTGGTGTATTTTTTATTTTCGTTATTTGATTATTTAATACTTGCCTTTTTGTATTTTTAGTCTATGCTGGTCCTTTTCTGATTTTCTGTTAGGTTTTTCTTCGGCACTTGTTATACCAGCTTCAATCAAAAAACATATAAGAGGAGTTAGGTTTTTGTTCACCCCATATTCCCGACGTTTTCTGTGTTACTTTATGAGATGTGTCTATCAAATTCCACGGACCCGAAAAACGATAATTATATTTACTAATTATAATATGTAGTATTATAATAAGACATATTTTATTAACCAATTACAAGATCTACAAATGAATATAATCTATCAATGTGAATTTATAGTAAAAGATCCTATGTGAATGCAATGATCCCTCGTATAAAATTCAAGGCGGTAACCCAAACTCCGACATAATTTTTTTATGTAGGTACCTTCCATTTAATTGCGTGGAACCAAGCCATCGTCATATTACATTCCACACGTGAGTTCCGTGAGTTGATGAAAATACTTTGTGATCAAATTCATATCTCCGAGAATAATTAATTAATCATTGCCTATGGTTTCGATGACTCCTAGTAATTTGTGCATTGAAACGAATCAATTATGCGGTATTGATTAAATAAAGTAATTGATATTTTAATTAAATCTATGAATTAAATGATTAATTTAAAATTATCATTGCACTCAACAAATGCATCTGTGAAATGCATTGGAAAGACACCTTCAAAATGTCACCTAGCAACCCCCTGGCGTTATTTTGCCAGTTACGATGTCGTTATTGACAAAACTTCCTCTATTTTGATTTTTCCTTTGATTCAAGAACTTCTATTTGCCAAAATGGTGAGATTTGGTATTCTAAATAAATTTTTATATCATTAATATTTCATTTTTAGCCACCAAAGAAAAAGGGAGGTGGAAAGGGAGGTTTAGGTAAGCAAAAAATAAAATAAAAACAAAAATCTATTTTTTTTTTTAAATCGTAAATTTTACTGAACTTAATATTTTTTTGGTAAATATAGGAGGTATCATAGATGGGGTAGATACAACCCAAATGACCCGAGAACAACTAGAAGTATTTTGTTTAAGAATTAAGGAGGAAAATGAAAGGGAAAGAGAAGAAAGAAACTTTTTTCAAATGGAAAGGGACAAATTGAGAACTTTTTGGGAAATTACAAGAAACGAGTTGGAGGAAGCTAGAGCGAAACTAAGGTGAGCAGTGAATACAAAAAGCTCCCAAATTTCAGTACACTAACTCCATCTATTAATACCGTATTAAAGCAGCTGGTCATAATGATCGAGAATTCTGTTAATGCGGCTACCGCTGTTCAATTACTAAAGGTTTTCATCTATAGATGGCGCTAGTTTCTAATTTAATACTATTTAGTACCTAAATAATAATTATTAATTACCGATATTTTGTATCTCTTCTAGAAACAAAGACAGGCAAATCGAAGAATCAGTCGAGAAAAACGAAGACGAACTAAAATTCTATAAACAAAAAGTGAAACACTTACAATACGAACATCAAAACAATTTAACAGAAGCCAAAGCTGAGGGTTTGGTCTCTTTGAAAACCGCCCAGGATGAGCACACCGAACAAGAAAAGGAATTATTGAAAGACAAAAAAAATTTGAAAATCCAAATAAGAGAAATGGAGAATTCCTATGAAGAACAAATAAAGAATATGAAAATTGAACACGATAAAACCGTTACTGAAGCCAGAAACGAGTTTGAGGATAAAGCCAAAGAACTAGAAATTAAATATGACAAAAAGTTTTGCGATTTGAGGACCCACTTGAACACAAAACACGACATGGAAATATCAGAGGTTGAAGAAAGGAAAAATAATCAAATAACCGATATAAAAAAACACCATGACAAAGGGTTTAATGAAATGAAAAACTATTATAACGACATTACTTTGAATAATTTAGCATTAATCAGCAGCCTAAAAGTAACAATTTTTCTTAGCTCATAGTAATTAGGTGCAATTTTACATTTTTTTAGGACCAAATGGAAGTTTTAAGAAAACAAAACGAGCGTATGAGCAAACAAGTGGCAGACTTAACTGCAGAAAACAAAAAGTTAGTGGTACCATTACAGAAAGCCTTGGACGACGTTAAAGAATATAAAAGACAGTTGCAGAATTATGAAAAAGATAAAATATCCTTAGAGGTAAGGTACTTATTGATTTTTTTTAATGATACATTTTCTTTGTTAATTTTTGTGTTTTAGAACACTAAAGTCAAACTCCGCCAAACGTTGAAGGACCTGGAAGGTCTCAGATGGTCAAATGATGCTTTAGAGTTAAGATTTGCAAAAGTAAGTATTTAAACCTAAAAAAGTTTCTCTAACACTGATACCTACAATTCCTCACAAGCTGAGAAATTATGATTCATAGCACCACAGCTGGGAGTAACGACAAAAAAAAGTTACTTTACTTTAACGAGTTACTGAAAGTAACGCGTTACTTGGTAACTTCGTTACTTTTCAGATTGATTGATAAGTAACTGTAACGACGTTACTTTCCTGAAGTAACGCTGGAAGTAACGCGTTACTAGTTACTATGAAAGTAACTCGTTCTCCCAATTTCTTTATCTTCTTTACAAATAATTGACGAGTGAGGAAAAGGAAAATAAGTAATCCAAAAACTTTGTACATCAAATAAAATGTTGGTAGAACAGAAAATTTCTTTTGAAAGCTCAAAATAATCGTTTTTGGGCGTACCACGCGGCCTCTGCTCTAAGGACACTATATGCAGACACTGGGGCACTTCAAAAAGCAGGTTTGTCCAAAATCAAGTGCTCTATTCAGTCGCTTAATCCTTAATCCGTTTGAATTTTGCAAGAATACTCTTCCACATACAGGGTGTCCCACGGTGGATGGCGTATTAGACTCTTATGGAGAACTAGAAATCGGATCATTTTGAAAATTTGGCAACCGGGATAAATGACCGTGATCTACACTATAAAAATATTTTTGTTTATGCGGTGTTGCCGCTTCTACTCTAAACCAGTGGCAACATCGCTATTTTAAATGAAACACCCCGTATTTAATTGCATATTTGGATTCTTCATAAAATTCTGAGCAGATTTCATGTGATATACCCTATACCTAAGTTCAACTGTTTTGGAAATATTGACAGTTGAAAATTGACTTTTTGCAAATTTGACAGGCTGTAAAACCTGAACGGTTAATTTTAGAGAAAAATCGATTTCACATTCCTATCTTAGATTTTTATAAACTATCATTAGACACCAATTTTGAATTTAATCCATGATTAAAAATTCCAATTAAATTTAATCTCCGGTTAAATTCAAAGTTGGTGTCAAATGATAGTTCACAAAAATCTAAGACAGGAATGTAAGATCGGTTTTCCTCTGAAATTAACCGTTTAGGTTTTACAGCCCGTCAAAGTTGCAAAAAGTCAATTTTTAACTGTCAATATTTCCAAAACAGTTGAATTTAGGTATAGGGTATATCACATAAAATCTGCTCAGAATTTTACGTAGAATCCAAATATGCAATCACATACAGGGTGTTTCATTTAAAATAGCGATGTTGCCCCTGGTTTAGAGTAGAAGCGGCAACACCGCATAAACAAAAATATTTTTAAAGTGTAGATTATGGTCGTTTATCCCGGTTGCTAAATTTCCAAAATGATCCGCTTTTTAGTTCTCTATAAACGTCTAATACGCCATCCACCGTGGGACACCCTGTATAGTCGGACTCACAAACTAAAAACATATTGGCATTTCGTATAGGTCTTATTTGATAGTTTGGACTGCTATGTTGGTGAGTCAAATTAAGGAATAACGCAATTTTCGACGTAAATAGGTATTTTTGAAGTAACGCGTTACTTTAAAAGTAACGAACTACTTTTAAAGTAAAGAAGTTACTTTCAAAGTAACGAAGTTACAGTAACGCGTTACTTTCCAATAAGTAACGAAAATAAAGTTATCATTATTCGAAAGTAACTGTAAATTTTAAGTAACGAGTTATTTTTAAGCAAAAGTAACTGTAAAGTAACGCGTTACTTTTTTCAAGTAACGATCCCAGCTCTGCATAGCACGAGCATCGTATTTAGGAAGAAAATGTATCCGTCTGGTAGTTAACACTCCATCGGCGAAATATCACAATTATTAAAAATAAAGGTAATGCAAGTCCAAGTTCATATCTTCAAATAATTTCACGTTACCTAATCACTTTCAAACTGTTAATTAGGTACCTACTTAGCTGTTGAAAAGCCTAATGTGGACAATTATCTGATTTGGAGTTGGAGTTTGGATTAGTAAATTTGTCCTTATAGTTGTGTATGTGTGTATTGGAGGTGTCAGTTGAACCGCGACTAAGGTTGATCTATTGTACCCTTCCTTCTGCTGCTAAGTTCGGGTTTCCTGCTCAAAGCAGCCCCTCTAGTCCTAGGTCCTTTAGGACTTTTAGGATATCTAACTCACCTCCCCCCTCTTTCAATCCCCCAAGCACCCAGAGCCACCCCCTAGAAAATCTTAAATGGGCGAGGGGTCAAGTGATACATCATCTTGGAGGTTTTTTAATTCCATACATTTTCAGTTCAGCTGTCTTGGAAACACTGACACATAGAAAAGTGATTTATATATTGTTGATATAGAACGCTCACTTCTGCTGTAGTCGCCAAGTGACATTTCCGACGGTGCTGCCATAGCGGTGTAGTCATTGAACTAATATTTGGCAGGCCGTTTGATTCTCAGTTTTAAATGTCTGGTTTGACATTTCAATTTTTTCAAAATAAAGCAGTGCTCCGAAACTTCAAACTAAAATTTTAGTAATTTTATATTCATAAATTTATGTGAGAATCACTTAACGAATAAAATAGTCTATAATATAGATGATCTGGTGTATTTGACTCACAACCAACATTTCTGTTTCTGTGTTGTTTTTGATGTAGATTTCAATGGTCTGTCGCTGCAATTCGGTTATGGCCGATTAATTTTTTGCGCCTTGTCACATATTGTGGCGATAACTGCTTAAACCGGCTGCTTGTGACGCACTTATCACTTCTTTCACAAATTTACAATTCAAAACAACAAACTCAACACTCAACGACGATGCACTCAACAAAATAAATCAGATGACAAGATCATGACAAGATGACATATGCATTATGATGTTAAATGGACCTCTGCGTTTTTATGACTGGTTTTTATATCCACCATTCTATGTCGGTCATTGTCATTTTCTATTCACTAAACAAAGATAGCTAACTCATCGGTGAAGTCACAGATTAGAATAAAAACGAGGGGGACGTTAAGAAACGGCGATATGGGCGCACAGCGGTGTAGTCACGAACTAAAACAAAAAGTGGAGGGGATGAATCCAGTGAATGTTCTATGCTGTAAAACTCAAACGATTTAGGGAACAATCATATTTTTCAAATTATTTTTTTTCTTATTGCTTATGTTTTCAAATATAAAATATATAGTTGTTTCTTTTTGTCCTCATTAAAATATTTTAAATTCCAAATTATTTTCGTTGGCGCGAAAACGATTACCTTCAAAATGGCGGTACTTGTGACGTCAACTATATGTAAAACAAAGTTAAGCTCTGTTCTCACAAGAGCCTCTGACACTTTGCAAACTGTCAGAAAGAATCGCTCAGCTTGAACCTTCGACTGCATTGAAAGCAGTTATTACGCGGTGTTTCCGTTTTAGTGCCGTATTGTGACATTTCGTGTGTTAAATCGTAAAATCGTTCATCATGGTTGATAAAGGATTTACAAAAATGCAGTCTAACAATCTTCCCTCTATACTAGACCCATTTATGGTGGTTCAATATCAGTCGTGGCGTGACGTGAGCTGATCGTGAACTAAAATCGTTTCACGACTCAAGAGTGAACCACGAAAGCGTGGACCGTGTATTCAGGTTCAGTGTAAACTACGCTTAACCTTAGTTTACGAACAGTTGACATCACTGGAAGCGGCCATATTAAACGTAATTTTTCCGCGCCAAACTTATCAATTTAAAACTAATAATGGCCGTATTAGTCCGGGAGTTAACGACATATTTCATTGTACCATTTTCGCAAGCTTCATTCTTTTTGTATGTGTTATGCGTGTAGTATATGATAGTAATATGAACGTCTGCCGGCGCACCAACACGACAGAGGGTTACAGGAGGGTTACAATTACAGCAAAAAATGAACGAAAAAAACTCAAAGCCGCATAAGCGAAACTTATTGTACATATTGGTAGAAACATAGAAAGCTCAGAAAATATGGTCTGCCACCTAAATTCCACAACAAAAGTCGTCTGCCACCCACATAAGTGAGCGCAAAATAGCTATTTATACAATAAGTTACGAAATGAGCGTCTTTTAGGCACGCGACGTGAAAATTGTCCAACGAGGCAAAGCCGAGTTGGACAACACGTCGAGTGACTAAAAGACATCGTTTCGTAACGTATTGTATACAAGATTTTTTCTACTGGCATTTTAAACACAATTTTATTTCATGTGAATAAGTCGATTACACCCAAAATCTTTGTTACCTGCTTTTACTTGACACCTGACACTTTTCATGCGATTTTCTTTTCAAAATTCGACATCAATAATTAAAATCCTAGAAAGTAGGTAATAACACAAACTTCTGTTTTGAGTAACCCAAACGTTCAATTCAGTAATTCCATTTTCAATATTCATAATAAATACAAAACAAAATTCAAATATGTGTTTAGTGTGTTTTTTATTTCTGAATAATGAATGACACTTTTAGGCACTAGTGCTTAAAAATTACTTTTACGCACTCATAAGTCACTTTTACGCATTCAAAAGTCACTTTTACGCACTGAGTGCCTAAAAGTAACTTTCACGCACTCAGTGCCTAAAAGAATGTCGTTTCAAAACTGAAATGACAATCGAAAAGTTGCTATTATGAAACGTCAGTAGAAAAAAAAAATTAAAACAAAAAATATACTCGTAAGGCTGAAATTAATTAAAATACTTCTTTTTATGGAAACAAACACAAACATAATAGTCTGCCACGAATAAGATACAACGAAGATCGTCTGCCATGCCTATGAAGTTGGGTTCGGCATGCAGTGCCCGAGCACCACCGCTAGGACGCTGCATTTTTTTCTTATTCCTGTTTATTTTTTTATTTTTTTGTAAGGCTAACCAAAATGAATTGTGAAAAGCTCAAGTCTAATGTTCTAGAGTTCTTAAAGAGATTATAGAAGGATTCATCACATACACTCAAAATGGAAATGAAAATTTTCACTTGGAATATTTATTTTCTCTTTTTGACACTTGTCAAACTCACTGTGAAAATAATTAATTTCAGCCTTGCG